GTATTGCAAATCAAAGGCATGTAGTTCATATAATTCACTTTCTGTAGACTCCCCCGCATCTCACGGCGATTCAAACAGTTTTGGGGAGCAGACTACACGAGTCAAGTATTTTTCTGGGTGATGTGCAGAAAGTGGCGGTTGCTGAAGGGTAGATGGTTCACGTAAAACTCAGACTCCACCGAAGAACTAGCGGAATTCTGATCTGGAAACCCTACTCAAAACCAGACTCTCAGTGCAGATTTAATGTTCGATGCCTACTTGTAACCAGGATTCCTGGTCTAGGGTGAGGTCACATGCCCATAGCTAGCGCTTCCTTTTCCAGTTCCCAGTTTCCACAACCACTACTGAAACTGGAACCGAGATCCCATTTCCAACAGGTCTCAGCTCGGGCAGTCAGGGTGAAAGAGAAATGTGTACGGCTCGTGATTGTGAACGCGATCAACCGTTTGCGATTCAAGCAAACCGATTCGTATCCATATTTAACGCACTAGAAGCGTGCGTAACACACCACACCACCCAAGCGTGCGTAACACACCACACCACCCAAGATGGTTGGAACGCGTTTCACCGAGCTTCTCGATTGTGATTCGCTTAGGATAGCGATTCGCGATGGTCACCACGCCGAGCATAAAATCCCGTTTCAACCCATACTCACATCCACCACAATCCGCTCTCTCACGCCATACAAATACCCACGCTTTTCCTTCCCAACACCAGTACGACATTTCGAAGCTCTTGATTCACTCGCTTCCAACTCCCCGCATCCCCTTCACTAGCTACTAGTAGAAAGCATGGCGCGCCTGCTTACTGCTCTCGCTCTACTGCTTGCCGTCACCGTCACTCTCGCATTCGTTTCTACTGCTTCTGCTCGGTCTGTTCGGCTTCTTGGCAATGGGATGACTGCCGATGGTAAGGACGTGGGCACTCCATCGATCATGCAAAATCGATCTGCCACCGCACAGAAAACCTGCTAAATATTTCTTCACCTTTTTAAACGCCGTAAAAAAACCATCCTGCGGCAGGATCGATCGCCAAAATCTGTGGGAGTGTCCACATCCTAAGTGGCAGAGCTGTGCGATGGAAAGTTGCAAACCTGTGCGATGGCAAGTTGCAGACCCGTGCGATGGCACGTCACAGAATCGTGCGATAATAAGTCGCAGACCCGTGCGATGGTGGCGCGCATTTTAAAAACCTGAGAGTCCTCCATGCTTGGCTTTAAGAAGCGTGAACGACGATGAATGGCACTCGCGTCGTACCTGCACACATTGTTGCTTCCTCACTCGCGCTGCCCCCTCTCTCTACTTTCCCCACCTCCCCCCATCCCCCCCTTCTCACCGTGTCAAGCGGCTACTTGTTCTCCAGCCATTCACTCTCGAGAGAGACTCGCTGTGCACGGAACATCGCGTCTCCCTCTGCACCCCTCTGCACACCCCTGCATCCGACCAAGCCTCCGACCATGCCTCACGTCCCCAAGCCGCGAGAAAAAGGTGCCACTAATTTCCTTTCCCCCACGCCCCTCACACCTTCCCCCTGTCTCTTCCTCCCCTGCGCAAATCCATGTGTCGGCATGGCGCGGCGGCAGGTGCGTCGGGAGCGGTAGACACCGCCGGCGGCGCCATCACGGCAGAGAGCGCGCTGAGTGATGCTCGGGCCAGTGCGGGGGACGAGCAGAGTCACCGCAAACTGCAGTCCCCGACTGCAGATTCTTGTAAGAATGATCAAGCCAAGCCTGCACATGAATAGACTTTAATTCCTGCGGTTACTCGTTTCTTTCTTTCTTTTGTTTTCTGCTGTTTCTGAATAGTACAGGAAGCTGATGATTCCATGTTGCCCATTAGGCTGGGCAGCATTGTCAGAGTAAAATGAGTTGGCTGTAGTAAAATGCGCGCTTAAACAGCTCAAATCTGAGGTGAATATCGGCCGTCCAACCTCCTGGCCCGTACCCCGAAGTGAAGTAGTCGACTAAACAGGCCCCCCTTTGCTGTCGCCCACTTGCAGACCAGATGGCGTGCAATGAAGTGAAAAGCGATTGCTCAGCGCCCAACACGTACTTTTTTGGTCTGATCAAAGGAAAAAAACCCAGCGCGCAGAAGATCAAAGAATGCGAGGACTTGCATAGGGCTTTAAAAGCTAAGTATCGGTGTCCATAGATGCATGTTGGTGAGAGGGTGATGCTTGTTAGAAGCCTGTATGGAGAGAGCTTCTGCCAGCTACAATGGATATTAGCCTTGTGATCATGTAGTAGTGCGCATGACCCTTGGATATTAGCAATGCTCATGTGCATATATGGTCCTTCTGCGTGGGTGTTAATCTATGCTACGTTGGTGTTTGTACGTAGTATGGTGTTTATCCTTGGGTGGGTGCTTGGGTGAGGTGAATTTTAGATGATGTGCCTGGATTTCGATCAGCAATGCAACGGAATACGGTTGTAACACCTTCAGTTCACTTCATGGGGCGGTGCGAATTTGAGGTCCGCAAACAACATCCCACAGTACTCCTTGCCCATCACGCGCTACAGGAAGCCATGGTGGGCTGCTAATCGGTCTCTGCGTGGTGCCCATGCACAGACGATACCCCGTACCGCTGGGCACATGGTGCGGGATGGGTGGGGAGGAAGGAAAGAAGAGGTGTGTATCTGCTCCGCTCTGCTGGGCCATGGGTCCATCACCTGCCAGTTGCCCTCGCATGGAAGTGTCACATGTACCTACGATGCCCCGAACCGCTGGGCACATGGTGCGGGACGGGAGGAAAGGAGGGAAAGGAGAGGTGTGAATAAGCGCCGCACTGCGGGGCCATGGGTCCATGACCTGGCAGTCGCCCTCGCATGGGAGTGTCACGTGCACTAAGGATACCCCCTACTCTCGGGCGCAGGGGTGTGGGCGGTGCGGAAAGGAGAAGAGGAGGGGGGAGGGAGGAATGAAAAATGGGAGGTTGGGTGAAGACATAGGCAGCCATGCCATGCCATACAATGCCATGCCATGCCATGTCGTGCAGTTCCATGGTATGCCGTGCTGTGCCATAACCCTGCTCACCTCATCCGCCATTTGTTTCATGGCTGACACAGGTCTGACAGCATCGCTTGCGAACAGGTCCAGTTCGAACTAGCACGCGAGGTCCGGTGGGGAAGAAGGGGGGTTGAAGGGCAGGCCGATTACAGGTGATTTCACATGGGACAAGAGTGGCAGCTTGAGCATATAGCCACGTGTTCCCGGCAAGAATCGTAGCTCACTGCTGCTTGCATGTTATGACATGTCTCCGCATGTTCTCACGTCTCAAATACAAAGTTCGTGTCACGTGGGTCATGTGGTTTCTTGATGCTCTACCACCATGCTATTGGTGCATGGCAGGTCCAATCACGAGCTGCCCTGTCGACTGCCCAGCACAACAATGGTTACTAGTGGTCACACAAGAAGCTGAGCTCATGCCAGGGCTTTGGATGGGCTGGTGAGTGAGAGAGTGATAAAATTTGTGTGTATGATGATGAGTGAGTATGGTATGCAACCACTTCATCCTTTTGTCACAGGAGCAGCTCTCAAAGTGGTTGCATGCCAGGGCTGTTGATGGGCTGGTGAGTGAGTGCGGGAGCGAGTGAGAGTGTGTGCTAGTGAGATGGATTGTGTGCTAGCGAGCAAGAGTGTGTGCTAGTGAGAGAGAGTGTCCGTGTCAGTGGGTGCATGCCAGGGCTGTTGATGGGCTGGTCAGGGAGTTGAATGAGACAGTGAGGTAGTTGTGACGTGAGTGAGCTTGTATGTGAGTGTGATTGAATAATCTGTTGAATGAGTGTATGTGAGAGTGTTTGATTAATCGGTTGAATTAGTGTATGTGAGTGTGTTTGAATGGTCTGTTGAATGAGTGTATGTGAGTGTGTTTGAATGATCTGTTGCCAGGTCTGGCTGCAAGTTCTGGGATTGTTTTTTGCCGAGCACCTGAGTGCACAAGTGCCAGGTGAGTATAGCCATGCAGAGCTGCAGAAGTGCCTGAGCAGCCAATATGTTTCATCCTTCCTATTTTATGCTGAAATTGCCACCCTTTCTTTTGAAGTTATGTTCTATCCCTAATCTAATTGCACGCAACCCCCTTCTATTTCCCCATTTTCCTTCGTCCCTTTTCTTCCACGCTACCACTCCCTTTTGATTTCTGCCTCCTCCCTCCTCCCTCCGTTTTGCCCTTCCCTTGCTTAGAAGTAGGCAAGAAGGGGCAGCATGAGGAGGGTTCATGGATAAGTTGTCTCTGTCAAACTATATCTGTGCTAGTTCTGTGTAGGCTATAGTGGGGTAGCTCTTATGGGTACAACCCAATGTTAGGGTTAGTACTTGTACCCACAATTCATTAAATGCAGTCATTCTAGCTTATCATCTTGACATGGTTTCGAAGTAGTAGGTCCGTAGGACCGTTTTTTTTTTTCGGGCCCACCATTCCGACTGCGGTTACCGCGTTACCCCACTGCCCTACCCCGCGTCGCGCTGCCCCGCGCACGCCACCCGTGCGCTGCCCCTGCTGGCCGCGCGCCACTGCTGCAGCGCGCGTTTTCTCTAGCGCGCTGCCCCATCTGTGCCCCGCGCGCTGCCCCGCCGGCCGCATGTAGCCCCGCGCGCCGCCTGCCCCTGCCGCGGCTGCCTGCTACACCCCGCGCGCCACCCGTCGCGCTGCTCCGCAGCCCCGTGCGCCGCCAGCCCTGCTGCCGTGGCCGCCCGCTACGCCCTGGGCGCAGCCCGCCCAGCTGCCCTGCTGGCCGCCTGCAGCCCCGCGCGCCGCCTGCCACAGCCGCGGCCGCCCGCTACGCCCCACGCGCCGCACGCTCTGCTGCCCTGCCGGCCGCCTGCAGCCCCAAGCACCGCCTGCCACAGCCGCGGCCGCCCGCTACACCCAGCGCGCCGCCTCTGCGCCTGCCCCTATTGCGGCCGCCCCTATTGCGGCCGCCCGCTTCAGCCGAGTGCGCCGCCCCTGCTACTGCTGCTTGCCTGCATTTGCTCTGCCCTGCTAGTCCTGCGTCAGCTGCTATGGCCACCCTCCGCGTTCTGTCATTCGATACTGAGAGCCGCCCGATTCAGTTTGAGAGCTGGCTCGATGACCTGCAGCTGTTCCTACTGAGCGATAGCAAGGACAATGTCTCTCTCTTTGACCACACGTCTGGTGCCTCAGTCGCTCCTGCTGCCACAGCTGAGCTTAGCGCCCGTTCCCAGTGGCAAACTCATGACGCTGCTGCTCGCCTAGCCGTTCGCAGCCACCTGCCGTTAGCCGAACTCCCGCATTTTGGCGAACACAAAACCGCTAAGGCTCTGTACGATGCTGTAGTTGCTCGATACTCCTCCCCTGCCACTGCTGCAATTAGCCACCTCATGCTGCCCTACATGTTTCCTGAGCTATCCACCTTTGCCACAGTTGCCGATCTTATCACCCACCTTCGCACTAGTGACACTCGCCTTCGCGCCGCCCTCCCCAAAGAGTTCTTAGCTAAGAACCCGCCTTCGATGTACTGGACCCTCCACTTCATAGTGACCCGTCTCCCTGACTCTCTTCCCTCGGTCAGGGACCACTTTCTCGCTCGGTGTCCCACCGATCTCACTGTCGACCTCCTAGAGGAGCACCTTCTAGCCGCCGAGACTGGCTTGATCACTGTAGGTGCTGCTCGTGGCGCTCCTCGCACCCCCATCTTTGAGGGGTGCTCTCCCTCTCCCCTCGCCCCCTCCTACGCTACTGCCGCTGCTGTTGACTTCCTTGGTGCTGAGTCTATTGGTGCTGCTTCTGCTCCTAGTGGGAGGCGCCGCAGCAGCAAGGGCAAGGGAGCCAAGAGTAGCGGAGGTGGCACCGGGGGGGGGGGGGGGGGGTGGTGGTGGAGGAGGTGGAGAAGGAGGAGGTGGCGGAGGGAGTGGTGGCGGGAATGCTGGCGGGAGTGGTGGCGTCGGTGGCGGCGGTGGGAGTGGAGGTGGAAGTGGTGGCGGCGGAGGGGGTGGCGGCGGCGATGGCGGCGGCGGTGGCGGTCGGAGCGGCAGTGGCGGTGGCGGTCGAGGCAGAGGCGCTGGCGCTGGCCAGAGACAGCAGCAGCAGTAGCGTCCCCGTGAGACTCTTACGCCCCAGCAGCTTCGTGAGTGGCTTGCTCAGCGTGGGACGTCTGGGGGTAGTGGTCGTTGCCCGTATGTCATTCGCACAAGTGACCGCAATGGTCAGACATGCGGGAAGTTCCACACCCAGCACCGCTGCTTCTCCCGCCTTGACGACGCTTGGCGCGAGGAGATGGGCGAGGAAGTCAGCGCCCTCGCTGGCATGAGCTGCTTAGAGCTGGTGTAGACATCTTTGCTCTTGACTATGATGCTATCCTTGCTGCCATGTGTGCATTGACTGTTAGTGCTGAGGGAGATTGTTACTTGTGTATGCCGCCTCACCCATGTAAAGAGGCTGCTGCCTTAGGTGCGAGCGAGTCTGCTCTCTCAGGTACTGCGCCTGCTGAGGCCTTGCACACCTTCACACTTGACTCAGGTGCTTCCCGCTGCTTCTTTCGTGACAGTACTGCACCCACACCACTCACTGCACCTGTTGCAGTCTCTCTGGCTGACCCCTCAAGGGGCCGAGTTCTTGCATGGTCCACAACTGTGCTCATGTGCCCCACAGTCCCGTCTAGCTCACTGTCGGGCCTCCACCTCCCCTTGTTCTCTACAAACTTGGTGAGCAACGCAGTTCTCCAGGACCAGTGGGTTGACACCTTGACCCCTGGAGGACAGCATGTGGCGATCTGTACGTGCTCCCGGACCGGCCGCCACCTGGCCACCTTTACCCGTCGGCCAGGGTCGAGTCTTTACACACTGACGACTACGCCTCCTCAGGTAGTTGCAACTGGTCAGGTGTCTGCGTCAAGTCAGGTAGCCTCTCCTTGTTCGTGTCGCTACCTGTCGCACCAGAATCTTCTCTGGCACCACCGTCTGGGTCACCCCTCCTTGCCACATCTACGTGGCATGCACCGTCGCCTCCTTGTGTCTGGTCTTCCCAGGTATCTCCCTCCCCTCCCTCCCTCGCCTGCGCCGCCCTGCCTTCCTTGTGTCGAGGAGCAGCAGCGTGCCGCTCCTCACTCCTCCTCGTTTCCCCCGACAGAGGCTCGCCTGCAGACCCTCCACATGGACGTGTGGGGCCCAGCCTGCGTTCGTGGACAGGGCGGCGAGTGGTACTTTCTGCTGGTTGTCAACGACTACCCGCGTTACACCACGGTCTTCCCCTAGCGCACCAAGGGTGAGGTCCCTGCTGTCCTGATCCGTTGGATCCGAGCAGTTCGTCTCCAGCTCCGCGAGCGGTTCCGCTAGGACCTCCCTGTCGTGCGACTGCACCCTGATAGAGGTGGCGAGTTCTCTTCCGACCTCTTGTGGCAGGGGGAGGGCATCCTCCAGTGGTTCACACTTCCGGGCTCACTGTAGCAAAATGGGGTTGCTGAGCGCCGCATTGGGTTGGTCATGGAGATCGCTCGTACCTCCTTGGTCCATGCGGCGGCTCCCTATTTTCTGTGGCCGTTTGCAGTCCGGTACGTCGCACAGCAGCTCAACCTCTGGCCCCGTGTCTCCTTGCCGGAGACCTCGCCCACACTGCGTTGGACGGGAGAAGTTGGCGATGTGTCGGTGTTCCGGGTCTGGGGAGTTTGTGCCCTTGTCCGCGATACGTCCGCGGTCAAGCTCTCCTCCCGCACCATTCCCCCCTGTGTCTTCTTCGGTTTCCCCCCTGATGCGCCTGGCTGGCAGTTTTACCACCCCACCTCGCGCAGTGTTCTGTCCTCTCAGTACGTCACCTTTGATGAGATGGTTCCTTTCGACCATCGCTTCCCCTACCGCACTGCCCCTCTCCCTCCTCCGCCGCTTTTCCTCGCTCCAGGTCCCCCTCCGATAGACCCCCTCCCCACTCAGGGTCCTGCTCCTTCGGGTGTGTCTCAAGAGGACCCACTCCCCTTGGCTAAGCCTGTAGAGGTCACTAGCAACTCAGGTGCTGCTGCGGGTGGTGCTGCTTAGGGTGCTGCGTCTGGGGGTGCTGAGCCTGTGCGTGAGGTGCTGGGGGGTGCGGAGCCTGGGGGTGCTGAGCCTGCAAGTGCGGAGCCTGGGCGTGCTGAGCCTACGAGTGCGGAGCCTGGGGGTGATGAGCCGGAGGGTGCCGGGTCTGGGGGTGTTGAGTCTGGTGGCGTTTCTCCGGGTCTCTTTTCACGACGGGGGGCTCTCTCACCATAGCAGCTACGAGAGTGGCTTGCATTGCGTGCCCGCCTGAGGAGTCGTGCTGCTTGAGCTGGAGGTCCTACTGGTAGAGGTACTGCTTCTCGAGGTGCCGGTTCTTTGGGTGCTGCTGCTGGAGGCACTGGAGCTGGAGGCCTTTGAGCTGGTGTTGTCGACCCTGGAGTTGGAGACCTTGGAGCTAGAGGTGCCGGTTCTGGAGGCACTGGAGCTGGAGACCCTGGAGTTGGAGGTGCTGGAGCTGGAGGCCCAGGAGCTGGAGGCGCTAGCGTTGGAGGCGTCGGGGCTGGCGGCCCTGGAGCTGGAGCTGCTGGTCCTCCTGGTGCTAGTACTGGAGGTACTGGAGCTGCTGAAGCTGGTGGTGCTGCTGGTGCTGGAGGTGCTGGTGGTACTGGCACTGCTGGTCCCGGAGGTGCTCGTCCTGGAGGTGCTGGAGCTGCCATAGCTGGAGGCGCTGCAGGCTCTGGAGCTGGAGGCGCTGGCGCTGGAGGCGCTGGAGCTGGAGTCGCTGGAGCTGGACGCGTTGGAGTTAGAGGTGCTGGAGCTGGAGGTTCTGGAGCTACTGGTGGAGCTGGAGCTGCTGGTCCTGGAGGTGCTATTACTGGAGGTACTGGAGCTGCCGGAGCTGGTGGTGTTGCTGGTGCTGGAGGTGCTGGTGGTACTGCACAGCAGCGACTGTTCTTCGCTCCGTCATCACCGTCGTCTCTGCCACCGCCTGACTCCTTGCTCAGCTAGGTCCTTAGCTTCACGTCTTCTACTGGCCTCCCGTTACTGCCAGGCTCCCCACTACCTGCTCCCTCTCCTTACAGACTCACTTGTGGAGCGTCGTGAGCCTGCGTCTCATCCTGCCTCGCCTGTTCGCGCTGGTCGCACTGGTCGTCGTGTTCCTCGCGGGCGTCCTCCTCCTGTCCCCGGCACGCACACTATGGCACTTCGTTGTTCCTCTGTTCCATAGCGTGCTCTCCTGCCATCTCCTCCTACGTCCTCTCTTCCGCACGTTCCGGACCCTGAGTCTGACTTAGCTCGTGCTGCCAGCCTTACTGTCACCCGTCTCCTGGCCACTGTTGTCACTGACCCTTCGTTTTAGTTTGCTGCTATGTCTGCCCTAGTTCCTGAGCTTGTCGACTTTGCTGCTGGCTTTCGTCTAGACTACGCCACTACTCTTGCTGCTGAGTTTGGGTCTGTCTGTCCTCCATCCGTCGGGGGTGAGTGTGCTATTGACACGGACGTCATTGAGGATAGGCAGGAGGACTTTGAGTGCTTTGCAACTGCTGTACCTCATCTCGTGTCCATGCTGATCACACCTGAGGAAGACCAGGATGCACCAGACAACCCGGCCCCGCGCTCTTACGCAGAGGCGATTGAGGGCCTCTACTCCTCTAAGTGGCAGTCAGCCATGGGCGCAGAGATGGCATCCTGGAAGTCCACAGGCACTTACGTCGACAACGTTCCCCCACCTGGGGCGAACATCGTCAGTGGCATGTGGATTTTCAGGGTGAAGCGGCCGCCGGGTTCTCCACCTGTCTTCAAGGCGCGTTACGTTGCACAAGGCTTCGGTCAGAGACAGGGAGTTGACTTCTTCCAGACCTTCTCCCCTACCCCGAAGATGACCACTCTTCGGGTTCTGCTGCACGTCGCAGCTCAGCGTGACTATGAGCTTCACTCTCTTGACTTCAGCACAGCTTTCTTGCAGGGCAGCCTGCACGAGGATATCTGGCTGCGCCGCCCATCTGGCTTCACTGGGTCGTTTCCTACAGGTACCCGGTGGAGCCTCCGGCGGCCAGTCTACGGTCTCCGTCATGCGCCTCGCGAGTGGCACGACACACTAATGACGACGCTTGAGGCTCTTGGGTTTGCTTCTTCGACTGCTGCCCGTCATTGTTTCTGCGCACCTACACTTCGCTGCCGCCGTTCTACATCCTCGTGCATGTCGACAACTTGGTCTTTGCCACTGCTAACACTAAGGGACTTGCCCATGTGAAGTTGGAGCTGTACAAGAGACAAACGTGCACAGACCTGGGAGATCTAGGCAGCTATCTTGGCTTGCAGATTACCGGGGACAGAGCATGGCGCACCATTACCCTGACTCGATCACACATGGTGCAGCATGTCCTTCAGCGCTTCCACTTCACGTACTCCTCACCACAGTCCACTCCTCTGCCTACCGGTCACTCGCTCTCAGCTCTGCCTTCGGATGAGTCCGTAGAGCCAACTAGCCCGTATCCAAAACTTGTGGGCTGCCACATGTACCTGATGATCTGCACTCGACCTGACCTTGCTTACCCTCTTAGCATCCTGGCACGCTACGTTGCTCCCGGGAGACACCGACCAGAGCACTGGGAGGTCGTTAAGAGGGTGTTTCGCTACTTGTGCAGTACGTCGGGTATGAGGCTCGTGCTTGGAGGACGGGCTCGGATTGTCCTCAATGGCCACGCACACGCTTCTTGGGTTGACGACTTGGCTACGCAGCGATCGTTACAGGGTTACACCTCCAGACTTGGCTCTGGCTCTGTTTCTTGGTGGTCTACCCGCTCGTCTTCTGTTCTCAGTTCCACTTGTGAGGCTAAAATCTACGCAGGGGCCATGGCTGCACAGGAGTTACGCTGGCTTACATACCTGCTGGCTGACTTGGGAGAGCCGCCTCGTTCTCCTCGAGTTCTGTATGTCGACAACAAGGCCATGACTGCCTTGTGTTAGGAGCACAGACTGGAGCATAGGACGAAGCACATCGCTCTGCGTTACTTCCTTGCTCGAGAGTTGCAGCAGCGTGGACAGCCTCGTCTTGCTTACGTGGCCTCTCGGGCCAACACTGCTGATATCTTCACCAAGGCACTTCAGCCTTGTGATCATCAGCGGTTCTGTACTGTTCTATGACTTGTGCCTACTTGGCCTCACTTGCTCACCTCTTGACTTTGCTTGTACTGTGATCTATATTGTATACCTCTGCATGTGAACTGGCCTTGTGGCCCTTTGCTTGTGCTCGGAGTGTGTGGTGATGTTGTGATCCACCCTGTGCTTGCTTTGCTTTTCTTTACTGGTCTTGGGACCCCTTGTTCTCCCCACTTTGCCTATGGGGGTGTGTCAAACTAAATATGTGCTAGTTTTGTGTAGGCTATAGTGTCAGAACATTGTAGCTTATACATATTGTGTAGGCTGTAGTGGGGTATCCCATAGGGGGTACAACTCAATTAGGGTTAGTACTTGTACCCACTTGTTTCATAGTTCATTCATTCTCGTTTCTTCTCATGGTATCGAGCAGGTTCCCTAGCGGGAACGATTCCTAGGGCCCACCACTACGACATTTTTTTCCTGCCCAGAGCGAGCTCCGCTCAGGCCCGAGTCGCGCCCCGGGTGCTCTCCCTATCGTCACCTTTAGCGGCCCTCTCACGGCCCGTCGCGCCGCCCATTACGGCCCATCGCGCCGCCCTTTGCGGCCGCGTCGCACCGCCCTTTCGCGGCCCCGTCGCGCCGCCTCCATCGCGGCCCCGTCGTACCGCCCGAAGCGGCCTCGTCGCCGCCCCCCCTTCGGCGGCTTCGCCGCCTCCCCTCACGGACCCGTCGCCTACCGCGGCCCAGTCGCCACCTGCGGCCCCGTCGCCTACTGCGGCCCCGTCGCCTACCTGCGGCCCCGTCGCCACCTGCGGCCCCGTCGCCTACCTTCGGCCCCGTCGCCACCTGCGGCCCCTTCGCCTACCTGCGGCCCCGTCGCCACCTGCAGCCCCGTCGCCACCTGCGGCCCCGTCGCCACCTGCGGCCCCGTCATCTACCTGCGGCCCCGTCGCCACCTGCGGCCCCGTCGCCACGTGCGGCCCCGTCGCCTACCTGCGGCCCCGCCGCCTACTCGCGGCCCCGTCACCTACCTGCGGCCCCGGCGCCTACCTTCCCGGCCCCGTCGCCTACCTGTACGGCCCCGGCGCCGTCTCTGCCGGCCCCGCCACCGTCCCCACGCAGCCCCGCCGTCTTCGCCGAGCCGCCCGAGTCGCCCGAGCCGCCCGAGCCGCCAATTCGCTGAGCCGCAGCTGCTGCCGAGCCGCCGTACCGCCGAGCCGCCCGAGCCGCCGAGTAGCCGAGCCGCCCGAGCTGCCCGAGCAGCCGAGTCGTCGAGCCGTCGAGCCGCCCGAGTCGCCCGAGCCGCCCTGTCCGGTAAGAGCAGCGCCTCTGTCACTGCACTGCCCTTACCCTGCTGTTCGAGCTGCTAGTCTACTGCTGTCATGGCTACCCCTAGTGTCCTCACTTTTGACGCCGAGGGTCGGGCCATTGACTTTGACGTATGGGTAGATGACCTGCAGCTTTTCCTACAGTGCGATAGGGCAGACGGTCTCTCTCTCTTTGACCTCACCTCTGGTGCCTCTCCTGCCCTGCTGCTGACGCTGACGCCACTGTTCGCTCACAGTGGGCCACGCGCGATGCTGCTGCACGTCTTGCTGTGAGTCGCCACCTACCTACCTCTGAGCGTGCGCACTTTAGTCAGTACAAGAGTGCTCAGACCTTGTATGACGCTGTAGTTGCACGCTACTCCTCCCCTGCCACTGCTGCACTGAGCCGCCTCATGCTACCGTACCTCTTCCCTGACCTTGCTGCCTTTCCCACAGTCGCTGACCTCATTACGCACCTTAGCACTAGTGACACTCGCTACCGCGCTGCGCTTCCTGCTGAGTTCTGCGCCAAGAACCCCCCCCCCCCATCTATATTACCCTCTACTACATAGTCACCCGGCTCCCTGACTCCCATCGTGTAGTCAGGGACCACTTCCTCGCAGTGTGACCCACCACTCTCACCGTTGACCT